AATCTTTGCTTTTCTGGCAAGTAAAATGAGAATTATGGTATGGTACCTTACTTCACTGGTATTAATGCATAGCAAAACAGTACCTGGCATCCAGTAGGCCCTCACTAAGTATCTGAGAAATGATATTAATAATAATATACACAACTGTAATTTTCAGGTTAGTTACTTTCTGTTCATTAAGTCTGATGTGAACAATGATACTCATTGGAAACCAGGGTGTACATGATCATGTGTGTGTGGTGTGTAAAATCAAATGGCAAATAGTCTTTTTAAGGATAAGGGGAAATTGCGCACCACAAGAGAGAAGGGAGAATAAGCGGACATGTGTGACTTGTACCTCTCATCCTAGTACCCTGGGATGACAAAGTACCAGCTGCCATCACTGCTCTGCCCTGTGCCCACCCTCACCATTACTTGGTGGCAGTGGCCCCATTCTGGTAGGCATTTCCCACATGTTTTAGCAGGTGCTCCCTGGTCGTGGACAGGACTTGAGTGTGATTCCCTTTCTCCTGTGAAAGATTGTTTTTCACCTGTCAACTTGTACCATGTGATATTTTTGCTTTTCTCTGACCTTGCTTTGGCTGGAGAAATGTCCCAGCCATGCCAACCTAAGGTTCGGGAGGGATCCATCTTGGCTTCGGTTCTCATCCAGGACTCTAGAATCCTTGGCCTTCGGGTCCTGGCCTGCTGTGCGTCTTCCACTGGCTCACTGGCTGCACCTCAGGCCACTGGGTTCTGTGATCTGGAGACCTGTGTGTCCCAGGCAGTGCAGCATGATGGAGGGACACCACTTGTATAAAGTCAAAGCAGCTTTCTTCCCCCTGGAGGGAGGCTCCCGGATGGAATACCTTCACTGATCCTTAAGTTATACACTGTTTTTGAAGAACCAACATATTCTTTTCTCAAATAGTATATTTGGGAAACATTGAGTTAAAATTATTGGGTCTTTAAATAACATGTCCCTCATAAAGAACCAGAACTCACTCAAAAAATGGTTGATTTTAGAGGAAGGATAGGAAAAGTGGAAGTGCAGCCCAACACATCTGTGTCTGTTAAAAAGGAAGCACATAAAAATAAAACATGATGGGAACATGGCAGAATGACAGAGGAATCTTTTTGAAGGATGCCCTGCTAGCCAAATCTGGGACAGCTTGATCATCCAAGTAAATGACATTAGTAATGAATATAATAATAATGAATGGCGTAAGTCAAGAACAACAGTAAATAAGTTTGCCTAGGTGTAAGTAATGAATGCCTAAGTGCACTGTGGCAAATGGGAAGTTATTCCTGATATGAGAATGTCATTAATGAAATATAAGAAATAGAGGAGTTAGAAAGTCACCAATGGGTGCAAGAAACAGTGCGAAACATTAGACGGGGACCAAGATATCACACAGAGTATCTCCTTGCAATCTGCTTTTTAATTTCAAAAGGAAAAGTAGTGGCATTATCGTTTAGAAAGCTGTCAGACGACACCTTAGCCATGTGATCAGGGTAAAGACCTTTCATATTGGGATAAACCCACAGCGTATGGTTCCTGGTTGCATGCGCTAATAGACCCAAGCAGCCACTGGTATGGTCTGCCCCAATGTACCACCTGAATCGAATTGTGGGAGAAAGGCACAGCATAGAAAGACAAAAATAAACAGAGGAGTGGTATCAGATACCATTGGGGTGGGAGGGGAAGACATAGGTAGACATGGCTACTTGGCAGAGTGTGAGCCTAGGCTGGATCCTAGACCCAGAACCAAACAATGATCCAAAATGTCCAAATGATCTATGAGTTAGAAATAATATTGCATCCATGTGAAATCTGCTAATTTTAATAATTATATGTAATCATTATGCAGCCAATGCCTTTGTCCTTAGAAATTATGCTGAAATATGGAATGATACAGGGATATATTCTCTGCCATTTGCTTTCAACTGGTGGGGGGGTCATGCAGAAATTGTGTGGTGTGTGTGTCAGTATATCTGGACACATGGGAATGTCAAAGCGAAATGAGGTAAAGAATATATAGAATAGTTAATAGATTTCTTTATTGTTGGGTTTTCGGTGTCTGCTCATTTCTTGTACCAGGTTTCTTGATGGAGAATTGTTAGGTAGCAAGCATCACTAGGTCTTCATTACCAGACAGAGCACACTTTGAGGAATTCTGAAGCAAGGGTCTTGGGTATGGCTTTTGAGAACAGTGCAGAAAGTAGGTTTTTCTCAAAGTGCTTGGTAGCTCCTCCTAACACCTGCCAGTGATGCCTTTGCAAAATAGATTTCAAGCCTGGATCCACATGTGACTCAACAATAGCAAAGGATGTTTAGAGTTTGTTTCACTCAGCCAAACCATATCTCTTTATTTTCATGTTTGGGATAGTTTCAGATGTTCTCATAATTCAGTAGACCACAACTGGAGAGAAATAACAGGGAAAACTGGTATTTCCAATCTGTGCTCTTGTTCCCTCTTTGAGATGTGTTGTTATCCAGATGGGTATCCAGGTGGGTATCCAGGTGGAAGGGGCTCAACTCAGATTTTCTCAGAATGCTTTCCCTTACCTAGTTGTAAATGAAAATGCCCTGAAAGAGATCTTAAAGTATTTTCTATCACACACTATTCAGGTGATGCACTAAACAATAGCACCCTGGAGCATGGGCCGAGGTATAGAAGCCTTTTGTAAACCCACTTAATTTGAGGGCCTGCGGTAAAAGGAAAGTGACGTGCAGTTTTCTGAATATACCTATGTGGAGTTTTTTTCCTGGGCTAGTAGGGTTGTACCCAAAGCAATTCACCTTGTGTTAAACTGTTTTGATCTATTCCACATGGGGAGTGGCTTTTTCTCAGTGTAAATTCATGATGTCTTAAACTGTCCAAAACTAAAGGAAACAAGTTTCTGAGAAACTACCAGAATCAGGTATTGTTATTCAGTCATCAGGGCCCCATTTCCTTTGGATTTGTCCTTCATGTAGTTACTGAGTTGGCTTCGCCTACTGGGAATTTATTGTTCAGTGTCACATCTTCAGACTCGTACCTGGTGTGTTGTGCTTTAGTCTGTTATAGAAAATCCCATCATATGGAAAGTGGGGAAATGAAAGAGGACTAAAGATGGACATCTGAGTTTTTGTTCTGTTTCACTTTCTTTTGGTAAGAAGTAAAGTCATTCTGGAAGACTCAGTGGAACTAGTTCTTGGTAGAATGTTCAGAAGTCTGCCACGTGTTAGCCTCACCATGCACCCGTGATGGTGGCATGGTGAGAAGCATGGTAGGGGTGGGGTATGTGAGCATGTGCTGTGTACTGCACTAATGTGTCTGATCCTCATCCATTGGAAGAATTTGGCTTCACACTCAGTGAAAGCTGGTGCTCAGGAAGTAGCTTGCTGGAGGCTTCCCAGGCAGGTGGGCCAAGAAGCTGCCTCTGTGGCCTGATGTTTTCTGAGTCTTTTTTAAATATCAAGGCAGTGTGATCAAGCATTCAGATCATTCAATGATTATTAAATTGTATTAACTGTGTTTTGGGGGGAAGACTTTATTTTCATTAGCATGTGTTTGCGGGGCCTACAGTTTACAGTCATCTTGGAGAGAGGGTATATATACATAATACAACTTGGTTTTTGGTTTTTTTTTTTTTTTAATCCTCTTTCATTTCCCTGCTTCTTCCAAATCTCCTTTTTCCATTTTTGTTCTTGTTGATACTGTTAATCTTATCTCACACTTACGATACATATTCATTGAGTTTTGTGTATACTAATAGTGAACTAAACAAGATTATCATGAAAACAGTACCATTCATGGTAACATCAAAAATAATGAAATACCTAGATATTAGCCTGCCTAGGTATTAGCATAACCAAAGAAGTGAAGGACCTTTACAAAGAATACTACAGTACTCTGGAAAAGGAGATTGAAGAAGATGACAAAAAATGGAAAGATGCCATCCCTTCTCCTAGGCAGAATTGATAGGCAGAATGAATATTGTTAAGCAAATCAGTGCAGTCTCAATCAAAATTCCAACAACATACTTGACAGACATAGTGAAACACAATCCTAAAATTAATATGGAACCTGAAGAGACCCAGAATAGGAAAAGCAATTTTGGGTAACTGGAATGAAGCAGGAAGCATCACATTACCTGACCTCGAGCTGTATTAAAAAGCAAAAATAATAGAAATGGCATGAGACTGGAACAAAAACAGACACATAGATAAATGGAATTGAATAGAGGATATCTGTGTTTTGATTATTGAATAAGAAATGGAAGCCAGTGCAGTATAAAAGGAGCTATTTAAGGTTGGAATCAGAGCACCTGGAATTTCAAATCTCTGACGTTTAGTCTTAGGCAATTTAATGTTAAGTTCCTGGTGCACTACCTCCTCTCCTCTACTTGTGCATAATAATCCCTGTCCTATCTTCACAGGACTTGTTAAAAGCATTAAGTGAGATAATGTACAGGGTGGCTCTTTCCAGGCGGTAAAATGTAAAGTGCGCTAGTATCATTACCACTACATTTCTTGGTGAATTTCCTAAAATACATCCTTTGGACTATTTCTCAAAGCTACTGAGATACTCCTTCAATTTCTCCTTCATCACTTGCTTGTAATTTTTTTATAAAAATGTGCTCAATTACTATTTTAACTTAGGGAATGAACCCCACAAGCTTAGTTTTGTACTTCAAGTTGTTTAACATCAATGAAATCTTGCCTCTTAATAGGAAAATTTCACTGTGCTCTGGGTAATAAGTAATAAAGAAGTATGTGTGTTATTTATTATTTTAGGGTGGTAGGAATGTAGTTTTGTTGTGGAGGAAGATGCGACAGGTTCTGAAGTTAATAGGAAAAATGACATGCTGTCATTTTGTCATGGCTACAGTCTGAAATACTTTAGCAAAGGAAGAGTACAGATCAATAAATGGCAAGATTTTAGTAAGGGAGGAAATGTGGGCACACTGCATTATTTTTTACTTTTGCATAGATTGAAAATTGCCTAATGCATTTTTCAATTGTTGTTTTACAGATGCAGATTTTCTTCTACAATCCAGATGACTTTGACAGCTTTCAAACTGCAATTTCTGAGAACAGAATAATTGGAGCCATGGCCATATTTTTTCAAGTAAGTTAGCAATGGCTGAAGTTCTTCAGCCAGAGAGTTTCCTGCATTTTTTTAAATTCACTGAATTGTTCCATGTTTAATGAATGCATCTGTTTTCTAGTTCACACCTGTCTAAATGAAAGATATTTCATATTGTCTAATGTGTGATTTAAAATGTAAATAAGTATGTTTAGAAACATAATGAAAATTTTTGCATGAATTATTCTGATTTTATTGCTACTTGACTGGTGCACAGATTGAAGAACACATTTATCATCTAAGTTACTTTGCTGCTGAAGCGTTTTGAACAGGTTCCTTCAGCATATTAAGAGGCTGATGTAAAAAAAAAGTGGTTTTATTTCAAGCAACTTTAAGATTTGACATTACTTGCAGCTAGATTAATAAATTGCACCAATCACTTCTCTGAAGAGATCCCTTTTTTCCCCATCTCAGAAATTTCCCTGGTAACTAAAGTTTTTGTTGTCACTCTTTCAAAGTTAGTGTACTTAGGAATTCCTAGCCTTTCTCTTTGAATATGTTTATGTTGATTAATGCTCATAGCTCTTGTGATTAATGCTCATAGCTCTGCACATAGAAGCAAAACCTTGCATTCTACCATAGATAATGCTGCCCATGCAGCAAGTCGAGTCAGATTAAAGTAGTATGGATCAGTGAATAACTTAACCAGGTTGTCAGTAGGGGACCTGATCTTTTTTATGTGTGAAAGGTAAACTGAGTACCAAGTAAGTGATTTGCCTCTTACCCTAAAAATTTGCCAAAAAGCCACATTTTACCAAAGAGTCACTGTTGGGAAAAGGGATCTTCCTAACCACTCAAAGGAACATGAATTGAAAACATCCTAGGCTTCCCCAACATGAGTCTTCACTGTCTGCCATTCTTAGCTAGCTGCTGTGTCACCGTGGTGGCACCAGTCTGGTTCCCAGGATGTTAATTTCACTGCCTTTTGTAGTGGGTGACATGTGATTGCCAGTTCTCTCCATCTTGCTCATCTGTCCCCCTTTACCATCTCTCTCCCTCTTCTTGGAGAAAGACTCCAGAGAAGATTATAGGTGACAACGTGAAATGCCTGGTATTATCCCTGATGTCAGAATCCTTTTGTACTTGCACCAGTTTTTGATCTTAGGTTCCTGTTCTGCTAGTGGGTGTGAAATAATTGCCATGAGTCCTAGACATCATTTTTAAATAATGAAGTAAAATAACATAAACTAGAAAAATAAAATTAGGGTAAAGATTTTAGAAGTTTTTTAGTTGTTTAGGTACAGTGTGCATGCAGGGTGTGTAATGGGTCGTATTATAGAGTGTATTGCTGTGGATCATGATCAGATATTTTGGAAATTGGTTATGTTGTATATTGGAGTTATTGCTCCATTATTTTTCAGTACATCTCTTTCCCCTGATTATTTTCATGAAACACGGTGGAACAGACAGTTTTTAAAATCTTAATCACTAGAGTAAAAAGAATCTGCTTTTGAATCTCAACTCTTCTGCATTGGCTACATATTTCATGACAATGTAGATAAGCCTTCCAGCCTCAGTGTTCCTGCCTATAAAGTGGAAGGAACAACTAATACACCCTGAAGCTTGCATCAGTGATTAAATGAGTCCCTGGTAAGATTTCCAGTACAGAGGAGGTACTTAGTAAATGTCTTGTGCCAAAGTATCTCTATCCATCCATTTCTGTGTAGAGACTTCTGATGTACTCATCTTCTTTTCCTGACCAAAAGTGCACTCTGGCATTACCCTGCTGGGAAAGTTCTTAAATTCTGTTTAGACCTCTGCTGCTTCTAAGTCATGATTGATTTGCCTTTGGTGGTACTAGCATCTTTTCCATGACTTGGAACCAGTTTCTTCTTGCCTTGCTTTCTGCTATTGTCCTCTTGGAGATCTCTGGTTCTCTACTCTCCTACCTTCTCTGTCATTTCCTTTTCTGCTCAGACCAACCTGATCCTACTAAATAGGGAAACATTCTTACAGGAAAATGAATATTATGAATATTCTTATGAGTAGTAGAAGAAATTTACAACATGTTTGAAGCAGACAATATGAATTTTTTCAGCTCTGAAACATTTGTTAAAAATAAGATCAATTAGTGTCTTGGGTAGGCAAACCAACGAATAACATCACTGTGGAATCTAGGTTTGAATTGGTAAAGTAATTCTAGGACATGACTTATAGTTCACGTATGAAGAAATTTACTGCTTTGCCATTTTGTTTGGCCTTTTTCTAAGTTTTGGCTTGCTATCTCGTAGAAACAAAACAGAGCAGATCATTAAAAATAGAACAGAATTTATTTGCACAGTACCTGGTTCGAGCTGTTTCCTGCTTTCCATATAATTCAGTCCACTGTGTGCTTATATATTTGTATTCACACTGTGTTACTCAATGGAAATAAAAATATTATTGTTATTTTAATTTGGGAATCTACTTGGATCCTCAGTTCTGACATCTTTGAATTTTGAATCTTTCTTTGAGAATACTAAGTATGAGAGTTTGGCATTTCTCTCCATAATAGAGAAATCTTGAGATCCATCTCCAAATTCAAACATGGCATGTCACATTTTGGTGTCGGAGAAATACTTATCTCCTACTTAGTACCAATTCTGTGGCAGAAGTGGTACTAGGCACCACAGTAAATGTAATGAACGTAATTGTCTCGCGTCTCCTGGGCCTGCACTGTCACAATCCCATGTGATATGGGCTAAAAAGAAGTGAACAAATCAAGTCCACCTAGAGAGAGCTGCACCCTGACTTAGGTTCATCATCTAGGGTGACACAATACCACTGACCAACAAGCACATACCTGGGCAATGCTGCTTTGGTAATCTTGACGTGAACTTAAACTCTACAATCAATGATAATTTTCTTACACTTTAATTTTCTCATTGTTCACGAGCATGGGTAGTTTCCCTCCGTGTGTGTCTTTTGCTTTGGATGATGTTGCTGCTCTCTGTGCTCTTGCTGTAACCAGGTATGATGAAGTTCCTAATGCGGCCAGAGCATCATGCTAGATACAAGCTTAGTTGACCAAGAAAACCTTCAATAGCCTAGACTCGAGATTGCCTGCATTGTGGCTCTACTTTGGCTCATAGGTGTGATCTTTTGAACCTATAGAGTATTCAGTTGTTTTCCTGTTAAATAGACGAGGTTTTATATTACAGGTCTGGGTAATGTCACAGTCATCAAGATCTAGCAGTATTTGGCTGTCTCTTTTGGAAGGGCCACGCCTCCCCTTGTACCACAACTGCCAAGCAGTTCCTTTCATTTATTCATGCCAACGTGATCGTAAGATCATGACCCCTGGCATAGACCTCAGTAACTGAGTGAGAGCTGACATCTCTCACTTGGGTGGCAGACAGGATCCTTGTTGTCACTGAAAGATGACAAACACTTTCACCCAAGCCTATGGTGTGAGCACCTTGGGGTGTGAAGCTGAATCCTTGCCAGCTCCACAGAGTGCTCACTTCTTGACCCAGAGAGTTGCTCTCTGCTCAGCCCCTGGCGAGTGGAATTGTTTTTACAGTTTCCCAGCACGGGGTAGTAATGTGTCTGCAAGAATGGTTCCCTTTTTCTAATTCACACAGGCTACCTTTGGGTTAGCAGCCTTCCAGAAGGATGAGGAATAGGTAAAAGTAAAGTTTGTTTTCAAGGATATGCTTACATAAAGAAATCTGAAATAAGCAATTTACAAGGGATATAGAAATCGGTTGTTAAACCACACAAGAGAATAAATGCCTGTTTTGTTAATTAATGTGAGTATACAATTAGAATAATTACTTTGTTTTTAAAGTAGCACACTGTTTTCCACTATTAACTTGATTTGAATGCTTGTGGAAATATAAAATAATGAAAGTTACTCAAGTTCTCCTTTAAAATATTCTTTGATTCCAGTGCTCTCCATGGATTATTTGAATAAATAAAGAAATATTAAAAGTCAAGTTTACATGAAGTAGAGTCACTGGAATAATTAGGCAATTTGTGGAAGAGTATTTAGCTTTTAAAAATAATTCAGAATGATTTAACTGCTGCAGTTTAAATTTATAAAAAAGAGAATATCAGTACTCTGAATGACCTTGTTTTGAAATATGCCTGTGTTTTTTAGACCAAGAATTTTCCATTGCCATTCTCTGAATTGGGCTCCAATTTTGAGTTTTTCTTGCTTCCTATCTGTTTCTTCACCATTGTTCCTGTAACAGCTCCCTCTATTTTTCCACTGGGACCAAAGTGCTTTCTGACTATGCAATCATCTTAATGGATTTCAATCTGCTGCTTGTAGAATTTTGGTTTCCCCATTCTGTAAGTTTGTTGAGCTCTCTTTTTCCTGAAGCACATAATCATCATTGAGTTTATAATTTAGGGCAAGATCTAGTTTATGTCTTTTTCCTGTTGCCATTTTCCTTTATGCCTGAAATTTCATGTATATTTCGTAGATCCCATGGAATTTAAAATAATGTATGCATGATTCTTTTAAGAGCACCTTCATTTAGAAACTTTTCTCATGTGACATTCCCTCAGACTTCCTTTTTCTCTGTATCATTTGTGTATCTTTGCTGCAAACACCAAAATGTAAAATTATCCTGTTTATATTGAGAAGCCAACTCAGTAGGTATATTAAGTTCATTTGACAAACCTAATTTGTTCCACGATTCTGGAAAGGATAGCCTTGTTCAAGTTTGTGTGGGAAAGATTGTCCTGATCATGTTTGTGTCCTGACGCAAAGTTCTCAAACAAAAACAAAATTTTGCCAAACGGTTCTGTTTGCAGACCAAATTGTTTGCAAACAGAAGTATTTGTAAACTGAGGTACCCCTGTAACTGGATCGCACCTGGTTTGTAGGCTATCTTTCCTATGTTACTGTTTTTTTTGTTTTGTTTTGTTTTGTTTTAGCAACTATTGTCAACAACTACTGAGATTTTGTCATGTCTTGTGAGTAGTTCTGCTGCTGTTGAAAGAGTTGGGTTCAGTTGGACAAGAGCATTTTTACATCTGTCTTTGAATTCTAC